CTGGAACAGCAGAAGAGTCGAAAACCTTAAACCCTGAGCCGTGCACCCGGAAAGGAGCGGGTTTCGAACAGCGGCCGCAAGAGAGTTGATTGTGTTAAACTCGAGAACAATCACCCAGATCACAATTTCCCTCGCCTGCCGTTGCAAGGCAACCCGTCCCTTCCATTCCCGAAAACGGGTCGAGACTGGCGCTACTCCATGCCGACAGCGGCCAGTGTGGTGGAGAAGGCTCCTTGACCTTTGAGGTACCAAGAACTAGAAACCGCCTCTCAAGGAGTGGGCCTTGTTTCCCCTTTCGGAATCCCCAGGTCATGGATGCTTTCAGCCCATCAAAACGTGGACCGCTGATGACTCTCATCATGTTCTTCATCATCGCCTCCATTATCTCGAACGTCCCATTCGATGAGGATCCGCAATCCAGAAGCTTGTACTGCGTTACCGATCTTGAACATGACTTTGAAGCGGTTGGCCGGCCGGTGCAGCACGTGCCACAGCAGTGCTTCTCCACGACCGTCCAAGGTGACCACTGTGAAGCAGAGCTGCTTCGATCAAAGCACATGCTTCACCTGCAACTGCTGCGGTAGCCTGGCAGCATGACTCTCGCACGCGCAAATCTGACAACATTCTGGAATCTAAATAGACAAATGCACGGAATAGGGGTGCACAGGGTCATCCAATCGCGGGAGTTTTCAGTTGCTCGTGCCAGGGCGAATTGGTGGAGACATGTCGGATGCCAAGAAGCACCTGGGCTGCGGATGAGGGACTCCCCGACCGTTCTGTGTTCCCTATCCGGTGTTGTGAACCACTCGAGTTTAGGGTGTGGAGTCTTTTGCGGCGAATCGCCTCAAGCCTGAAAGTTCGTGTTCTCCTTTGCATTCTTCTGTTGCTCTGTTGCAGGCAAAAGCTTTGCAAGTGGGGCTTCATCTTCATGAGTCGAACCGTGGATGAGGCCGGCAGAACGCGTTCTATGCAGCATTGAAAGCCGGCGCAATGCGCCTGAGGTGTGCACCAACCTTGCAGATTGTGATGGGCTCAGCTTGGACAAAGTTCTCACCTGCAATGGGCCAGCATCCAGCTGTACTTCGAGGCAATCTAGCTCAAGGAGCGACCTGCTCCGCAGACGCAGAGGGCCGGCCTTCCATGGTTCAGTGGATTAGACTCTTAGACTCTAGACCAACAGACCAACAGCCCCAGTTCTGATAGAAGCGGCTTAGCCAGGTAACGCACTTACGACCTGCACGGCACCATATGCTGCCTGCAGCATGCTCAGAGTACCCACTGCAAGAAGTCACTCCCAACCGTGGTGACTCCTGTGCGTTGAGGTAGCTTTGTCGCACCAACTGCCACTCGCTGACGCACCTTGACACAAACATCTTCGATGGACGCCTCTAAAATGGCTGCCAAAGGTTGGAGGACGTTAGAGGACACAGATTGCGAGTGGACTTGCCGGTTTCTCTTGGACATACGTGTAGCAGTGTAGCATTGCTCCCCTGAAGCACATTGCACTGTTGAGGCAGCACAGCGGCAACGACTTTACGTCCATGAGTGGCAAGTGGCCAGTGATTGTGGCTGTCTGAAGCCTGCCCGATCGTTAATGTAGAGGTGGCAGCCAGACTGTGGGCATGTGCACCGCAGATGCCACTGAAATCAGAAGCTGCAGAGTGCTAGGGCACTGCGGCATCTGTCTTTGTTAGTGCACTCTAGCGTCGCGGCACGTTGAGGCGGTGGGATTAGCTGAAGAATGCCCTTAAAGAATCAGACGTCCAATCAGAAGGCCAACATAAAGACCCAGTGCAGGTTTTGCCACGCGACAGACATTGCACCTCGCCCCGCAACGTGTCCGGCATCCAATCTCGGGGAACAGTGGCATCACAGATCAAGAGCCTAATGTTGGAAGCTAACTATGCAGGTTGGAAGTCGGAAGAAAAAGTTGAAAGAGACCCTTGTCCCCTGAGTGTCTTCGCCTCGATGCCATCGCCATCTGTGCTTGATCTTCTGGCTGTGCAATGGTCCAACACAGAAGGCTTGCAGATGTGGAGCACCACTTTGCAAAAGGATACTGAAAAAAGGACGGAGCATGGCTTTTCTATGATGTCTATGCTGTATGGCACCTGCATTGCCACCAACCAGCTCTCTCGTGAGAGCTGGAGTTAAGGCATTGGCGCAAGGTTGCGAACGAAGACAGCGAACCCGAAGCAGGAAGGCAGGGTGGCACTCGACACAAGACAGGGGAGCACCCAGCAGGCATGAAGCAATTCCCCTTCCCACCGAGGCAAACATCCGCTCCGTTTCAAAGCTGTTCGACCCTGAGCCGGAGCTCTTGTTTGCGGAAGCTCCGACGGGGGCCTTGTCTTTGCCGAGGTCCCGGAGAGTCTACAACTCACCGCCGTCGACTCCCACACAGAAGGAGGAGCCATGGGAGGTCCTCGGCCCTGTGAAATCTTCTAAAGTAGGCATCCCGATTGGGGCCGAAGGAGGAACGCTAGTTTAGAACAGCTCGCCGTGACCGTTGCTTCTGGCAGTTGCTGGGCGTGCCACTTACCGCGGACTTTACGGCAGTCGGTCTGGCCTACTTTGCTCAAGCACCTCGGCACAACGGGAAAGGTTGAGCTCCCCAACCATGCTCGTGCCTTTGTGAACGGCGCCTCAGGGGGCTTTGGCACTGGCGGCGCTGGCAAAGCCATTCTATGTGAAGGACGCGGGTGGCCTTTAAGCAATGGATCGAGGGTTGGAGGCAGCCGCGGGCTGCGACCTTCTGGTTTAAAAGTTTTTTCAATGATTCAATGCAATACAAGATAGTATCAGATCAGGTCATATCATATCATGCAATATCCGATAACATGGTGTAATGTAACTCAGATGTTGCTTGTTTGGAAGCTGGTACCATTGACTGTGACGTTGCTCAGCAGGACACCCTGGGGATGTCGCCAGCAGATTCTTCGCTGTTTCTCTCCTTCACGTGCCCCAGCGTCGCACGTGTCACTCGCGATTTTCAAGTCTGAGTTGACTGCCCCTGAAAGGTACTGGCCATGGATTATGAAGCCATTGTGGGGCTTCGTTGCACGTGCCCCAGAGTTCGTCTCAGCACAGCGATTGGCAATCTTGGCATCCGCCCGCTTCGGCCCACGAAGCGTCGATGCTTGCGAAACTGCCGTGGGTTTACATTACTGCGCGGGGTCAGCAGGTCATGCACACTTGTTGGTAGAGGCCTGGCGGCGAGATGCCTGCCTTGAGGACGTAGGGCATGTGTCATATAAGTGCTACGTGGTTCGGGGCCCGAGGCAGACAGCATCCCAATTTTCGGCTCGCATGGCCCTCAGTGTCAAATCACAGTCTGTCACCTCAGCCCGTAGCCAGAGCTCTTACACAAGCGAGCAAGCACGGCGGCATTTTGGCAGGAGACGGCAGGCTTACCTGGTCCTTGCTGGGGCAATCAGCGTGGTTGGCCAGACATCTCAGATCTTGTGCCCAAAACAACTTGAAGCTGTCATGCTGCATCATGCTGTCAACCACCATGTTCACTTGTCCTTGATGCAAGCTGTCTAGTGGCCAAGCAGCCTTGGAACTTGGGATACCCGAAGCAACTTGCCTTTGTTGCGTCAACTGCAGGCTGGTTGGGCCTGGCGGGCTGGTGGCCGGTGGAGGTCAGCAAGGAGGCTGCCAGTCACAGAGGGGTTTCGATTGATGGACCGACAGACAGATACATAGGTAGATGGATAGATGTTGTAGTCAGTTCTTTGTGCATCTAATCGATGTTAGCACGTGGTCTTTGCCCACGTATCTGTATGCGTGTGTGTATACAAACATAACTATATACTGTCATATAGAGGTATAGACACATGCATACCCCTGTACACACATCCGCACACAGGGATTGAGATCCGTTAGACCCCGTCCGTCCAAGCATTGGGCCCCATGGCTTGGCAACATCCTCTGGCCCAATTACGGCTCAAAGCGGGGTCGCCCCTCTGTCTCCAAGGCTGGACAGGCAGGATGGGACATCTATGGTGGTAGTGTTATTATTACTATATTGTTTATTCTCACCATAGCTGTTCTTATAATTGTTACGATTATCGTTGCAAGATTACCGTCGTCATTAAGATATTTGTGAGATAGATTATGATTATGATTGGTATTGTTATCATTTGTGTACTGATATAGTATGATTTGCATGAGTATTATTAAGAGTAGTAGGAATGGTAGTGGTGGTGGTGGTGGTGGTGGTAGTAGTAGTAGTAGTAGTAGTAGTAGTGGCAGTAGAAGTAGCAATAGTAGTAGTAGTAGTAGTACTACTACTACTACTACTACTACTACTGCTACTACTACGACGACGACTACAACAACTACTGCTGCTGCTACTACTTCATATCACCACCACCACCACCGCCACCACCACAACCACCACCACCACCACCACCACCACCACCACCACCCCCACCACCCCCACCATCACCACCAACAACAACAACAACAACAACACCTTATCAATAGCATTCTTGTTGCTACTATTATCATGCGGATTGTAATTTTGCACTTTGCGATTAATGATTATCTTCAAGAGTCTGGCTATCAATACGCCGACGAGTATGAAGGTGCATCCTGACCATCCTTAGCATGGCTCCAAAGAAGAGGCCGGAGGTAGTGCACATAAATAAAGCTCTTTCAAAGCCAGACTGAAATCGAGTGTGCAAGGGTTCGAAGAACGTATACCGGTGAAGTCGAACTGTAGAGCACGACATCTCGAAGCCTGTGTTCACTCTTGTAAGCCTGAAGGGCGAGCACAGAGTCAGAAAAAAAGGCCGACAGGTAAGACAGGCTCTTCAAAGTTCAGAATACTTCGGAGGGCTGGAGGAAAGCAGGGCGAGCCTCCGCCGCGCGCACGAACCATATACCGGTAAACCCGAAGTATGGTGGTATGGAGGCCAGCAGCTGCAGGGGGTGGCGCCAGCAAAAAGAAGGCGAAGAAGGGCGTGGACCAGGGAGCGGATGGCTTGGCCAACATGACCAGCACCCCTGCTTGCAGTTTCGGGGTTGTGGCCTGTCGGGAGAGAGGCTCGGAGTCACTTCAAACTTCCTGAGTGCTTCGCTCAGAGTCCAGTTTAACTGCATGCAAGTTGGGCCCAGTGGGACATTCCACCAAGATGTGTCGATACAGCATGAAATCCGACACCAACTCCTGCTCCATGGGTGTTGAGAACTCTATCCAGTCGTCACAAGTGATACCATCCAGGTGGGTTTAGGGTTCAAGGTGTTGGGTTCTGGGTTTGGGCCTTGTTTACCAGAGCTCAGCACAGCTCGCAGTTCAGGCTATGCCGGTGCGGTCCTGGCGGAGTATGTCTGGCTGGATGCCAAGCAGGTTCCAAGGCCGGGTGTGTTTCAGGAGCCCCTGCACCTTTGAAGCTGATGTCAAGCGAAACCTGTCTCTGTGTTGGTGTGTATATGTGTATGTACGATACAGTAGGCACACACATACATACACACATATGTACACACACATACGCGCATATATATATATGTATATATGTAGGTATCCGGTACTATGTATTGTGTGTGTGCATGTGTATGTTTATGTATATGCATATGTGTATACACATACATATACATATACATATACATATACATATACATACACATACACATACACATACACATACACATACACATACACATACACATACACATACACATATATATATAGACATATACATATACATACATATAGATATACATATACATTTTATTTGCTGATGCATTTGTTTGTTTACCTATGCATGTATATACAGATCCTGTTGTATAGTGTTACAGTATATGAAAAAATGTTGTATCTTATTTCATATACAGAATGAAAAAGTGGCTGTGATCTATGCATCTTTGTTTGTCGCTTCCGTGCTTCACTAAAGCTGCGTGTCTGCTGTGTATCTAGGAGAGCATGTGTAGAGGCTGCGCTCTTTGCTTAAGCATGCGTCGAGTGGGTCCACCCGGTGGGCTGTTGTGGGAAGAGCAGTGGAGCTAATCAGACCCTAGAGAACTGTCCTTGTGCCCTACAATACAAGATTGCTAGGTCCAAGACGATGACCATGACGACACTGCCGACTTCTGTGGAAGGCAGTCATGCTCTACTGGCTGCCTTCTTGCACTAGGATTCGTGCCATGGCCTCGGTGTGTTGTAGTGCTTATCGGATGTGTTGCACGCAGTTCAATTTGTCTAGCAGCCAGTCTAGCAGCCGCAGCCACGCTGGCAAGTTCATGTGGACGGATGTGGGCAGAAGCTAAGTACCAGTAGCCGACGATGAAGTGAGTGTGACAGCACAGCCGCAGCACGGGAGTCTCATTTTGCAGGGCTTCGTGTGTGGAACTATGACGGCAGCAGCACGGAGCAGGCGGATGGCAACAACTCTGAGGTCTACCTCTACCCCAAGGCGATCTTCAAGGCCTTTGCAGCAATTCCGTCGTGGGATGCTGTCCACTCTAAGATTTAACTCTAGAAGGCCTAAGCAACCTCGAAACCCCTTGCTCCAAGACTGTCAGAGGATCCGTTCCGCGGAAGCCCCCATATCCTGGTGCTGGCCGAATCCTACAATGCTTGGGATGGTCAGCCGGCAATTGGCAATACGACCCTCGGCTCTCAAATCAGCGAGTTGATGCGCCGAGTTAAGCCTCAAGGCTTTCACTCTTGTCTTAGTGGCCTCTGGGCCTGACGAAGATGAACGCGGAGGAGTAGACAATAAGGACAACGGTGGTGACGGTGGAGATGGTGATGAAGATGTAGTAGTAGAGTTCGATGGTAGTCGTCATCGAAGTCGTCCTCCTCATGGTCAGAGTAGTAGTACGGAGCAGTTGAGTAGTAGTAGTAGTAGTAGTAGTAGTAGTAGGAGTAGGAGTAGGAGTAGGAGTAGGAGTAGGAGTAGGAGTAGGAGTAGGAATAGGAGTAGGAGTAGTAGGTGTAGTAGGAGTAGAAGTAGGAGTAGAAGTAGGAGTAGAAGTAGGAGTAGCAGTAGCAGTAG